AATGATCTCAGACATAGAAGGAAAACATGGTCCACATAATGTGCATCATTGGACCATGGACATGACATCACCAATGATGGAAAATGTAAAGCAATTTTCGTGGCCGAATTAGAAGCGTTATCATTCCAATCTTCTAGTTGTAATGGAAGGTGAAATGTAGTTGTTATGAGGTAGGTATTGGAGAATGTCTTTTTGAAAATAAATTATTGGAGGCTATGTTTTTTCCCCTGGCTTCAAAGGGCATGTAAAGGGTTGGGCCTCTAGGCTATCCTCGGGCCTATCTCGGCCCTGGTCTAGTAGGGCTGGCTAGAGCCTGGCCTTGCCTATACCGAGCAGAAGTGACCCTAGCCCAAGCCTAAGTTGGGTCTCATACTTCTAAAGAAAAAAAGGAATGGGGTTGGCCCGGCCCTATCATGGATTTGGCTCAGACCAGCCTGGCCCCACCCGGCCCTTGGGCCACATTTTGTAGCACAGGCCCAATTTTTCCATAGTTGGATCAACTGGGTCGGGCCGAGCCACTTGGCCCCGTTATTTGTATTCTTTCTGGTAAATGTAGATATCCATTTTACATGTTGTCCTGGTTAGGTAGTAAGTCAATCTATTTTGCATATACTTTTCCATGGAGTAAATGTTTAAACTCGAAAATGTTGGTAGGGAACGCAATCCTCGCCTTGGTTTTGGGTATAAACTCATTGAAGGAGTTGCTAGAGAAAATGGGTCCCATCAAATTACAATCAAGGAGATAGTCAAGCCACAAGACCTTCTCCCACTCGGACCGCTGACAGAACCGACTTCCAATGCGCCTTAGTCTTGGAGTTCAAAAGAAGTTTTGAGTATTGAGTAAGAAAAGAGGGGGGAATTACGAAGGACTCTGAAACAAAGGAAAGCAAGTAAAAGAAGTAAAATAAAGAAAAGAGAAAAAAATGATATCTTAGGCTAAGCAGCTAGGCCCGGTGCCCAGAATCGGTGTTGGTTCAGAGTTAGTAGTTGCACGGCTTTTTCCAATCCTTCAGGGTTTTTACCGGGCAAGTGAATGTGGGTAGAAGAGAGCCTGAAAAGTCGGGTTATTTAGACCACCTTCGGTTTGGCTGGGGTTTGGTATTGGCCTTAATGTTTGGAACTTGAGGTTTGGGGTTCAATTTTGGGTTGGATAGAGGTTTGGATTGAAGCAGCAGAGCTTTTGTGCTTACTTAAATTTTCGATCCCTTTAACTCGAAGGGAATCCTCTTATTTATAGGCCAAACAACCGTTGAGCTTTTGAGATGAAATCTGGGCCGTCCAGATGTCGGTGCAGATGTCAACGCAGCTGGTAATTGCTTCTGCGACATTGCCAATGGTGTGACTTTCGCATTAATTACAATCAGTGTAATTTAATGGTTCAGAATCTTGTCATCTTCTACCGGCTACACTTTTGTGGATGGGGTGTCAGAGGCCCAACAACATTTGCAATGGTGTTGGCACCAATGGGAAACTCGGTCTGACAGAAATTGCTGCGTGACGGTCTCCGAGTAATCTTTTGTACATTCAACCGGCCAATCATGCTCTCACGACACTAGGAATGCCATTGGCATTGCTGACAAGTACGTCACTGTTAGTCGACCGTTTGAGCACGCGCATGCGATTTCAGGTGATGTGACATTTCATTCAACGGATCCGAAAGTGGAACAACTAACAAGGTTGTCAGAGCCATAACCGTACTAATACATGACGTGTCAGTCCGTACATATGTTTGTACATCCAGATTGTCTTGCCATTTGACCTGTCAGATCCTGGCGTAGCTGCTAATGGTGTTGGTGCCTATGGCAATTTTGTCAGGATCTTTTCTGTCTGTTGGGCTCACATCTCAAGGCATGAGCTGGTCAGTTTTCAATATTCAGTCAATTATCCATCTGGAGGAATTTGGAATAGCACCGACACATGTGCCAATGGAGTCGGAGTTATCTACTTCTTGATTGCCTCCAGATTGGTAGTTCTTGGTCTCAATCTGCCTTATTCGATATTCAGGGCGTTTTTTGGTGCTTCAAGCTGTACCAAGGTAGTCTGGGTGTATGGGGTATGGTTCATGGTTTGTTGTAGAAAGGTTTTAATTGGTTCAAGTTTTTGGATAGCCTGTTCGGGGAATTCTGGTTTTCCACAGTTTCCCCAATCGGGATTGGGTTGTCTACAATAAAAAATTAGTCAAAAGAATGACCTTTAACTAAGAGCTTGTTTAGCACCTTGGAGATACATTTTCTGGATTTGATTGATATTTTGGAAAGGAATATGGAGGATGCAAATCCTAGAAGACGAGTACATGCTCTTTAAAGATCATAAGAATGCAACCCTTGATTTATATTCCACTGCTTGGTTCACCTGTTTATAAAGCTTGATTTTGCTGATTTCATTCTATTCAAGTTGCATAAATGGAAGTCATTCTTATTGAATAAAAAGGAGGTTTGAGTTTTAAACCTCTGATGATACATTATTGGCTTCTTATTACATTATTTATGATAAATATGGATATCCACTTGGAAATAATGTCATTTATTTTGCATATATTCCACCATGGGAACCAAAAAATAAGCCAAAAGAATCGCTTTCAACTAAGGGCCTATTTGGGTCCCCTGTTGATACATTTTCTGGATTTGATTCATATATGCAAATCCTGGAGAATATGAGTAGATGCCTCTTGATAGCAAAAGGATGCAAGCCTTCATTAATATTTCGATTGTGTGGTTTACCTGTCTGTAAAACACTAAAACTTGATTTTGCTAATTGCATTCTACTCAAGTTGCATATAAAGTTTATATTTTTCCTTTTAATTATGTTTTTTTGCCTATTTATATCCTGGTAATTCTCTTCAATGTTGTGAGGGTTTTTTTTTTTGGGAGTAATTCTCTCTAATTGTGCCCACCTCTTATTCATTTCTTTCTTAGAACCCTTTTCTCCCTCTAACTATATCCTTTTGCCTCTCTAACTCTTTTCTCTATCTAACCATGCTCTTTTTTTTTTATAACATCTCTCTCTAATCGTGTTTTTTTTCTCTTTAATTATGCCTTTTCTCTCTATCTCATTTTGTTTGTCTGACTTTCCTCTCTTTAATTGTGCTTTTTATCTCTCTCCACGCTATTTTTTTCTTTTACCCTTTCTTTCTTTAATATTGTATTTTCTCTCTCTTAATCCATTCTCTATCTATCTTCTTTGTATCTGGGCCCTCTCTCTCTCATCCGTTTCTAACCTTGCCCTTTCTTTCTCTACCTCCTTCCTCTTTCTGTATCCTTATGTCTCTCTAACTCCTCTTTCCTCTAACCCCGCCCTTTTTCTTTTTAATTATTTTTTGTCTATAATTTGTCTCACTCTAACCATGCCATTTTTCTCTGTAACTCATATATATCCTAATCATGCTATTTTCTCTCTAATTCTTCTCTTTAACCATGTCATTTCTCTCTAATGTCTGTGGGTATGAATATGCTCTCTTTTTTCCAACTCCTCCCTCCCATTTTGTTGCTATTTTTTTTTCACTCTTCTCTCTCTATAGGTTCTCTCATTCTTTTTAATCTTGTGAAGGGACTTGCACCTCAAAAAATGTATACTGTCTTTTTTAGAAGATATTTTTGGAAGGATAATATGAAATCATTTGCCATTGTTACAAGAAAGTCACAATCACTCCTAGCTTTTAAATGTCAAATTGGATTAATTGGGATGTGGTACAAATTTCAAGAAATTTTATTTTCGACTTTGAGTATAGTCAATGACGCATTTACTACCACCTAATTTAAAAATTAACATATAAGAATGATTGTGACCTTATTGCACTAAAAGTAAATAGTATATTTGTATACTTTTCTATTAAAAAAAAAACAAGTTTATATAAGGTTGCAACTTTAAAATGTAGAATCATAGATGCACCTCAAAACTCCACCAGAAAAGGTTGTTTCAATGTTGAAAAACTCTCTAATTGACCATCTCAACATCAAGATGTATGAATATAGAAAAAAAAGAAAAAGAAATTTTGAGTTCCAAAAATAGTGCATCTTGCAATAGATTATCTAGACCAATCATTTTCAAGATTTTCATATATTTGTAAATCTACTTGATTTTAATCATTTTTGGAGTTTAAAATTTTATAATTAGATATAAAAATAGGTTTTTAGATAATTCTAAGATTTTTTTACACCAAAATCGCATGTTATGATAAAATTTAGAAGTGTACCATTGTTTAAAATTTGGAAGTGCACTTTAATTGGATTGTTTAAAGTTGCGACCTTATAGAAACCGCACCCATTAAAATATCCGATGCCACTTTGGGGGCCAAACAAACACAATCATGTCAATTCTTGGAGTCGCATTCCAACTATCCAAATTGGCTTTATGCGAAAATTAGAGAAAGAGAGAGAGTCAATTTTCAGGGTGAAGAAGAGAGAGGGAAGTACATGAGTTAAAGTTCAGGATTCGGATGGGGGAAAGAAGAGAGAGGCAGGTTCATTAGTTGAACTTTGGGATCTAGGATTTCAGCTTGATTAGTCGTTAACCATTGCAATATTCTGTCTCAAGTTCAAAACTCAAGCTTCAGAAGAGAGAGAATACGGGGCAGCGATGGGTCGAATTCGGCTGGATCTAGACTCAAATAGTATTTAGGTTCAAAATTTGGATGCATACCCGGATCATTCGGGTTTCAAGTTTACCCATCGGGTCTTAGATCTAGTTGGGTCGATTGCTACTCTATGACTATGGGTTTTTTTTTTTTTTTACCATTATATATGAGCTTTTTTTTTTTGCCAAAAAATATAAATGTTATCAATATTATGACAATAAAAACACCTAGTAAGCCTAAAGACACATGATTGCCATCATATACCCTATGACTATACCCTAGGACTATGAGTACAAGTCGGGTCCAGCTAGACCCAAACCCAAATAATATTCGAATTTCGTTATTGCCACCCTAAAAATAAATAAAAAGCAGATAGGGAGAGAGCAATCCCATGGGCACGAGAAAAGTGAGAAAAGCAAATGTTCCTTCCTTACAAGATCCCATTAACCACGTACAATCCACCACCCCCAAAAGGTTGAAAACCTATCCACAACCATATACACATCTCTCCGAATTTTGAATCTCAATCTCTTGCTTTTCTTTCTACAACAAAAATAGTAGAATTAAACAAGAACCAAAGCCATGTCCTTGAACAGGCCCCCCCAACCCCACATGTTTCAGGACTGAATCCGCATAAAAGTAAATCATACTACCCATCAATTCCCTCTTCATCTTCAATGAAAGCGACACTAAGGGTGACCCCACCTCTGGCATATTCCCAATGCAGCCTTTTCCTTACCTAAAATCCACGTGCTCCGACAGCACCCCACACCCTCTCTTTCTCTCTCTACTTCTTGACATTCCCCTTCTCTCACTCAATCATATACACATTCGCTCTCTCTTTACCATGAATAAGGGCCCTCTCTCACTCTCGACTCTTTTCCCCTTGATCCGAAAGATTTGTGTTTTCACATATTCTACGTCTGAGTCGATCTCTGCACAAAAATAAATACGTTTCTCAGGCCATCATAATGGGGCTCGACACCCTGTGCTCTCCTCACAAACATCTGTTTTGAAACCCCACCATTCCGTCAACATCCAACCAGCTCACCCCAACAACCTTCTCTCGAGGCCTTCCCATGTTTCTAATTTTTCCACTCAAAATATGTGTCGGAATATTTGAGATATGGGATTTTTTATCTCTGCACCCACCATTACATGGGCTGTTTTGCGCCACACAGTTTTCAGGGGTTGTTTTGGCTGGGATCATCAGAAGAGTAGAGCAAAGAGAAAGAGCAGTGAGATGAGGTGACGTTTGAACGAGATGGGTATTTTGGTGTTTGTTGGGGCTGATATAAGTCAAGCTTGTGGGCCTGATGCGCATTTAGATCGTGGTGTATGCCCTTCAGTAGGGCCGCTACGTGGCGCATCGTGGGTCGTTCATCGGGGTTCCTGACGACGCAAAGCAAGGCTATGCCTAGGGCCTGAGACATCTCCTCGGCCTGTGCGGGCCCACCGCCTTGCAAGCGTGGGTCGAATAGAGAGAAAGAGACGTGGTTCACTCTTTCTGTCTTGCTGTTATGAGGAGATAGATGGTCCCGCACCCACTGTACTAAGTGGGTGCCTTCGGGCAAAGAAGGGTCGATGGGCCGTTTCCCCGTCAAGACTTCGAGAGCCACAACTCCGAAGCTGTATACGTCGCTCTTTTCGGTTATCCTTAGCATGCAACCGTACTCTGAGCCATCACAAACACAAAAGCAAGCAATCAATCAGTACAGAACGCTCTCTCTCTCTCTCTCTCTCTATACAGCATAGCACTAAGCGTGGTAACGGGACGGCCCCCGGGGCCTGACCCTTGTCGCTATAGAGCTGGCCGGGCCAAAAATAAATGAAAAGAAAAAGCCGAATCAGGGCTTGGGCCATAATTTGTAGATGGGGCCGTGCCCAAGCTGCATTGTCAATCCTACATTTGATGTGAAGAGAGAGACTCTCCACTTGGAGGAAGAATCCCTTGCTTTCTCTTTCTAACATTACATGAAAACGCCATGTCCTTGTTTGTCGAGCATAGTTGGCGTCAATTGGGTCTGGGTGACGACCTTGATTCGGATCCTGCAATATATTTTGGATAATAGAAGGGGCTTTCTTGCGTAAATGGATTGTATTGTTTTAGTAACGTTAGCCTTCTTAAGAAAGGAGATGGCATGTTCTGGTTTTCAATCCTAATACACATTACCTAATGTTACTTTTAAAAAAAAAAACTAACTCGAAAATATAAAATAGTGTCTGCAATCTTAACCCTCCATTCAGAATAGTTGGTTGGATAAGAGAAACGAATAAGTTTTATTTGGTAGGGGAAATATAGAAAGCTTCCCTATAGAAGAGGGCGTTGGAGAGAGAAATATATGCACTTGAAAAAATGATAGTTACGAGCGCAAACAACCGAAATGGATTCAATTAAACAGTTGCAAAAAGAAAGAAGTCTCAACGAACCAATCCAACTCAAAACCGGCTGGTCAAACCGAAACAAGGCATTGATCGATCTTATTTTGATAATTCAATTGGGTATTTTTTAAAAAAATTCAAAAAGATTTATATAAAATCCCAAAAAAAAAAAAGTGATTTGTTTGTAATGTATTTTATCGTTTTGGCCAAGATTGAAAAGTGTTTTGGCCATGATTTATATTTTTCCTATCTTTTTTAAAAATTTCAAAAACCCCTTGGCACAAATCTATTTTTTGAAATCTATTTATTGAAATTTATTTTTTATTAATTTTCAACTTCATTTGGATGTGTTTTATTTAATCATACTTTAAATATATTTTTCATATTAATTTATTTTGTATTTTTTTATTTTAGGATATACCCAGTTAAACCAATTGAACCGACTTATTTAACGATTGCTCGGAACCGATTATTGGCCGGTTTTCGAGGCCAGTTCGATTTGTTCAAACACTGGTCAGAATCTTAAAGAGAGAGAGAGAGAGGTGGCTAGGTGTGGCAACACGCCAGGTGGACGGGCCCTACCGGCGTGACCCCGCCCTTCAAAACTGTGGCTTAGACTACAAAATGTAGCCCAAGAGTAGGTCCTAAGCTAGGGCAAGAGAAGCCCGGCTTGGGCTGGTCCTAAGCTAGGGCAACAGGAGCCCGGCATAGTTCCTTTCCAGCCCTTATTCCTTGAATTTTTTTTTACTTTGTTTTCCTTTAGTTTTACCCTACCCAGCCCTCAAGAGTGATAGGCCGGGCCTGTCTTACCGGGCCAGCACATTGCTGGCATAAGCGGGAATAGAGGAAATTCAAGATAGATAGAAAGAGAGAGAGAGAGAGAGAGAGAGAGAGAGAGCACTTACCAGGAGCGATGTAACCATAGGATCCAGCAAACTGTGGGTAGTTGGACCTGGACGCCTGATGGGCCTCTCCGTTCATCAACTTGGCTACCCCAAAATCAGCCAAATAGGGCTCATACTGAGGCCCAAGCAGTATATTGTTGGACTTAACATCTCTGTGCAATATTGGAGGCGTACAGTCATGGTGCAAATACGCCAAGCCTTGAGCAGCTCCCAACAAAACATTATACCTCACCTCCCATTCACCCACCACACCTCCAACCCCTTTCCCCACACTACCCCCCTCATGTAACAGAGACCCTAAGCTCCCATTAGGCATATAATCATACAGCAAAAGCTTCGCATTAGGGCTTGAACAGTACCCCAATAATCTCACGATGTTGCGGTGTCGGATCGCCCCGAGCGTGCTCGTCTCGCACGCGAATGCGAGTGCTGATGCCTTCTCTGATCCACCCCAGAGCCGCTTCACTGCAATGGAATTGTTCTCGTTTCCATGTATGCGTGCACGGTACACAACCCCGGAGCACCCCTTGCCGATTATATTCGTGGTTACCAAGCTGTCGACCACGTCTTCGACGGATACGTCGACTTTCTGATACAGGGTCATTTGCCATGGCCCCTGTAGTTCACCGTCCTCTTCGTTTCCCATACCTCTGGCTCCATTCCTCGTGCGCAGAACCATGTACAGAGCGAACAACAGTAGTGCGGCCGTGGCCCCGATCAATAGACTCATTGCAATGCGCATCACGTTCGCGCTTGCGGTGCGTGTACGAGGCTCGATGCATCCGGTGACACAGAGCCCTGCATTTCCTGTGAGGTCACTGAGAGAGAGCCTGCGAAAGAATGGTGTGTCTGGAAGCTCGCCAGAAAAATTGTTATACGAGACATTTAGCGTGACGAGGTTTTGGAGAGAGGCCAAGACTTCCAGACTACCCAAAAGCCGGTTTCTCGAAATATCGAGGGTTGTGAGCTTAACCAAGCCAGAGAGATCTTTGGGTATGGGCCCTGAAAGAGAGTTGCAGCTGAGGTTTAAGGCAATTTCCAGACCAATAATACTGCCTAATTGAGCTGGGATTTCATTCGAAAACCCATTGCTGCTTAGGTCAAGGAGCTGTAGCCTGGTGCATGAGTTGAGCTCTGCTGGTATGGCTCCAGAGAAGCCATTGCCCCTTAATATGAGCTTGCTCAGGGCTCGCAAGGAGCCCACCTCGGGTCCTAGTGGCCCGCTAAGCCGGTTCCAAGACACATCCATGACTTGCAAAGTCATGAGCCTGCCTAGGCTAGATGGCAACGAGCCAGTGAGCCCATTCAAATGCAGGTCCAAGAACTCGAGCCCTGAACAACCAGAAATCTCATTAGGAATGGGTCCAGTAAACAGGTTATCTCCTAAATCAAGGAAATTCAAGCTCTTGAGTCGACCAATCTCTGCTGGAATCTCGCCGGACAGCTTATTTCCTGCAGCTCTAAACCGGAAAAGCGCACTGCAATTCCCGATTTCTGGTGGCAGGAAACCAGTGAGCTCATTCGACAAGAGCAAAAGCTTGGTGAGGTTCCTCAAATTGAAGAGACCTCTCGGGATCGAACCCATTAAGTTGTTCTGAGAGAGGTCAAGAGCCTGCAATTTAACACAGTTAGCTAAGGTCTCAGGTACCGGCCCCTCGAGCTTGTTTTGCCAAACATATAACAGAGTGAGATTCTCCAAATTTCCAAATTCTGCCGGAATTTGGCCTAAAATTTGGTTGTTGTCAATCTCAAGGTGTGTCAAGCCAGAGCAATTTGCAATTTCAAGTGGGATCTCACCGGAGATCTGATTCACGGAGAGTTGAAGCTCTTGTAATTTTGAAAGCTTCCCCATGGCAATTGGAATGCTACCTGTAAGCATATTCATCGAGAGATCGATCACTTCGAGATTGCTACAATTGCCTATCTCCTGTGGAATAACACCCACTAAAGCATTTTGCCATAGCAATAGGTTTTGGAGCTCTGATAAAAGCCCAATTTCAGGAGGAATTGAGCCAGAGAGGGAGTTTTCATAGAGATAGAGGCTCTGCAAGTGTTTGCAGTTCCCGAGCTCTTTTGGGATTGGACCTGAGAGCATGGCAGTGTAAATGGCTAGCGTCTGGAGCTTCGAGAGCTGGCCTAGAGTTGCAGGCAAGTTGCCTGAAACACTGGTCTCCGCGAGGCCAAGCATGGTGAGACTACTGCAATTTCCAATTGATTCAGGCAATTGGCCTTCGAGGTTTGCATTTCCACCTGCTCGAAAAACCTCGAGCTTCTGCAATTTGCCAATGCTCTGAGGAATCGCGCCGCTAAACTGGTTATCGTATAGAATCAGCCATTGAAGCTCAGAGAGATCACCAATTAAAGCAGGGATTGGGCCTTCAAATTGGTTTGAATTCAGGTAAAGTCTCTGCAAATTGTTTAATTTACAGAGCTCATTAGGAATTCGGCCTGTGAGGCCATTGTTGCTGAGATCGAGACGCTTCAGGGCTCTGTAATCACCAAATTGTGGTGGAATTGGGCCCGTGAGGTTCGTACCGGAGAGAATCAGAGTCTCTAGGGAGGCAAGGGCAGAAAAACCAGAGGGCAAGGGACCAAGAAGAAGAGGGGAACTTAGAGTTAGAGAGAGAACCTCTTTGTTCGCGCCACAGGTGATGCCAAACCAGTTACAGGGGTTGGGATCAGAGGGATTCCAGTCGCTCATGGCAGTCGAGTCATTGAGGCTATGTTTCCAAGCTAGAAGAGCTTGGCCCTGCTCATCAATGGCAAGAGCGAATTGTGAATTGAGGAAAGAGAGGCAGAGAAGAGAAAGAAACAAGGTTTTGCAGCTCGGCCATGGCTGCGCAGGCATAATAACGCGCATTGGGCCGAGAGAGAAGAGGTTGGTTCAGAGAGAGGAGGAGGAGGAGAAGAGAGGAGCGGCTATCCCCATGTAAAATTGTTTATATTGAAGGGCCTGAAACTCTGGATCCGAGGACAGCTAGGCCATGATGGACATGGAACAAGGTAGAGAGAGGAGAGAGAAAGAGAGGCCTGGTGTGTGCATGTGAGGGGGAGTGGTGTGGTTTTAAATTAATGGGGGTTTAAGGGACGGGTTTATGGATGCCGGGGGGTGGAGGAATCAGAAGGAGCACATGGAGGAATAAGTTTCAGAGTGGAGGAGAGAGAAAGCAAGGAACAAGATTTAGTTAGAGAGAGAGGAGAGATAATAGAGGACTTCACATGAGAATGGAGTTTAATGAATAATTTAGTTAGAGAGAGAAAGAGAGGACTTCACATGAGAATGCAGTCTAATGAATAAATGATTTGTTAATGACGTGAGAATGGGGGACGAACCGGGGAAGTGAATAACAGAGTGAGTGGAGAGAGAGAGAATAACCCGTCAGGCCCTAACATGAGGGTGAGGGTTAATGATTTTTTGGGTTGAATGATTTATTAATAAAGAGAGAGAGGAGGAGGAGATAAGGGTAGCCTTGGACCTCGCGGGTATAGGCCGGGCCCCTGGCCCGATCCTTGTCCCCATAGGACTGGGCTGGGTTTGACCAAAAATCAATGAAAAGAAAATAAAAATAAAAAAAGTGATTTAGATACGGAACTTAAAATACCAAATTCTCCACTTATATGTAAAAATTATAAAGAATATCGGCCAACCCATTATTTTTATTTTTTTTTAAATTGCTTTTTGATCAACCAAAATTTTGATTCTTTTTTTTTTCTTTTTTTTCATTAGTAGGGACGTGTCTTAAATATTAGAGCACTTCTCCGCTGACGAAGAAGCTAAAAAAAAATTAAAAAATTAAAAAAAAATCAAAATTCAAGTTGATTGAGAGGTAACCTTTTTTCTTATTTTTTTCTTTTTTAAAAAAAAAATAAAATAAAAATAAAAATAAAAAAGTGGGTCGACCAACTTTCTTTGTAATTGTGAAGAGGTTTAGGATTATCTGAAGAGAAAAAAAAAGTGTTCATTAATCTTATGACTATATATACTTGTCTTTTATATACAAATTATAGAGATAATAATAGAAACTAAATCATAAATCCCTAAAGTATACCCAAATTTACCATAAATACAAAATATTATACCTACTTTTCTTGTAATCACTAATTAAAATATACACCTTCCATATTAAGAGGATATACAATATATATCGTCCTTTCATAATAGTTTCCACATATAAGCAGTGCATTTGGTAATTTACTTAAAATTTTAAGATCCATACGTAAATCACTGAAAAAAAAAAAAAAAACTACATCTAGCTGGATCAAACAAGGTCGGCACTAACCCTAACTCAGCCCTCAGGCTATGGTTTGCGGGCTAGACCCTACTTTGCCCGGCCCATGGCAGCCCTAAGATGGATAAGTAGGGTTGTGGATGAGAGAGAGAAGAGGGTGGAGGAAAGAGAAAGCAAGCACCCTCACATGGGAGTTGGTGGGGTCTTGATTTAGTCTTAAATTATATAATAACGATAATAATGTAGGATTGGTGGTGAGGAAGCAAGAGAGAGAATGGACAAATAATGGTGGAAGAGAGGGAAAGAGGATAAATTAAGGGGAGGTGTCTGACAGCTTTCCGCTCGGCATTCTTTTGTCCATGGTGAGTGGAAGAGACAAGGCGCCATCAAAAGCCGAGTCCCCGTTTTCTTTCTCTCTCTTATTCCAAATAGACATGGGAGTTCTCTCTCTCTAGAAATGGGTATGCATTCTATGCTCCTCTTATAGCATATAAGATCTATCCCCTCTCTACAATCCAGCCGTTCAATTTTGATCAAGAAAGTCATTCATCGTTAGATCTAACATTTCAAAATATTTTACTTTTAGCTTTTTTATACAAATTGTATGAATATGAAATTTGGTACGTGTCATCTTCTCATTGGGATGCACCTATAAAAAATATTTAAAATAATTTTTCAATAAAATATAATAACCAAAATACCCCTTGAATCTTTTCAGGGATATTTTGATCATTTTATTTAATTGAAAATATTTTTTTTTATTTTTCGCTAATGTAAGTTTAATAGAGGAATGGACATCCAAATTTTGGTGTCAAAATAGTTTATAGAAAAAAATTTAAAAATAAAATAGTGTAGAGACGTGATATTGTGATTAGGACAATTTTAGCCCTCCATTCAGAATGGACAGTTGGATAAGGGGAGGATAGAACTTCTATGCTGGAGGGGCAGCATAGAAACCTTTCCCTCTAGAAATATATCTGCAATCTGAAATATCTCTTTAAAGAAAAAAGTTTATCTAAGGATGCAAACCTCGTAATGTAGAACTTCGGATGCACCTAAGAATCCATCAGAAAAAATAGTTTTAATGTTGAAAAACCCTTTGATTGAAAAATAAAAATATTTTAAGTCTAAAAAATAGTGCATTTTACAACATATTATCTACACTGTCCATTTTCAAGATTTTTATATGTTTATAGATCTACTTGATTTTAACCATTTCTTAAATTTAAAATTTTATAATTAGATATAAAAATAGATTTGAGATAATCCTAAGAATATTTTACATCAAAATTACATACCATGATAAAATTTGAAGGTGCACTCTACCTCTACCGCTACGAATGCATCTGTATGCCAACTGCACCCTCTTTAAATACATTTCATTATGGACCCAGTTTCTATGCGGACAAGCCCGCAACTGCACCCCTCTATAAATCTATTTTTTAGGTGGATTTTTTTACTTAATTTTTAAGGACATGTAATCTTTGACATGGAGATAGTGAATATAAAAAAAATAAGTAAATTTTAAAAAGTAGAAATAATAATTCTAGTAAATAAACATTTGGACTATTAATTTCCATTATTTTTAGATAAAACACCTACTCGCATCCATACTTTTTTTGTTGGATTTTTGAGGTGCACCATTACTCGAAAAGTTTGAAATTTGCAACCTTAAGTGAACATTTTCCATAGCATTTCGTGGACAGGTTTAGCAGCCTTCTCCATACTTTCTTTACATGCAAGTTTAAAAACAAAGTTTGGTCACCCCTCTAGAAAACCTGACTAGATCAGCGGTCCGGATCAGTGATCCGACATAGTGAAACAGAAAATAATAAATTAATACACTTAGGGAATAAAAATTAAAAAAATAAAATGGGACCAGTTCTGTAACAAGCAGCCAGTTTTCTACAAGAACTGGCTGGTTCACAAGAGAATCAGTTGGTTCTCTATATTTGGCGGGATTTAAATCGACTTTATTCTCGATCCGAATCGACCGATTTGGATGTATTTCACCTATTTTTAAAACTATGAGAAACATGAGAGAGAGAGGGTATTTTCATTGGGTGCACATTTTATAATAGACGGCCCAAATATGTGTTAGAGAGAGAAAGAGAGCTATACGTCAAATGCCATGTGTCGACTGTAGGGACAGGTAGTAGTAATAGTATTAGAGTGAATCATAAATAAATAATAAGGCAATAAACTGTGCTCTTCCCCATGAATTCCGGTTTTTTTGTATCTTGCCTTGCCATGATGAAGTCTTGGAGCCAGCCTTCTTTAAAGTTTACATCTTATTCTAAAGCTCTCACCCATCATCTTTCCCTTCCTATGCATTCAGCCCTTGGATTAAAATAAAACACACGACATACACTTCCCAATGCACCCACCCAAAGTTAATGGTTTCTCTCTCTACAACTCCCTTAATTGTTTCTCTCTCTACAATCCCTTAATTGTTTCTCTCTCTACCTTCCCACACGTACGTGCATACCACACGTGGTTGGACCCCTTCTGGAATTTTTTTACAAACAATTAGGTGAAGGCAATCAATCTTGCATTCAAAGACTCGTAATAACTTGTTAAAGTGTTCTGCAGTCTTTTTTGTTTTTTAATAAAAAGTTTTCTTTTTTTCCTTTATAGTCTTGCAACTCATTTGCTTTTGATATGGTCGACAATTACTTAGTCCCAAAAGAGGTTAAACATTGCAATTAAAGTCTCCCATTCCAAGTAAACGACGCAAACCTCAGTTCTAGTATGGTCGACTATTTGACAATTGATCTTCCATTTATCATTTATTCAACCTCTTGTGAATCGGGTAGCAATGGGCTAGGTTAGTGTTCAAAAATATTGAACTGGCATAGGAAATCGGCCGAGGGCCGGGTAAACCGGCCGGTTCAACCGGCCTAACTAGGCAGGTCTTGGCCAATTCAAAAAGTATTAAAAAATAAAATAAAATATAAAAAATTCAAAAAAATATATTTACAGTATGATTAAACAAAGCACGTCCAAATGAAATTGAAAAGTAGAGAAAAATAGATTTTAAAAAATCAATTTGTACTCGAGGGTATTTTTAAAAAACATTAAAGAGATGGGAAATGCAAAAATAAGGATTCATGTCGAAAACACTTTCTAATCTTTGTCAAACTGATAAAAAAAACATT